GACATCAAGGAACCTGTCAATCCCTCACTCACACCAGTGTACGCAGACACTGAGGCCTAGGCGGGTTAAGTGTCTTGCCCAAGGACACACTGCAGCGATCACCAACAAGAGCTGGTTTCACACCTGCCAATCAACGAGAGTCATTCGAGAAGGCGGAAGATTTTAGCAACAAAAGTGTGATTGTAATTACTTTATTAGACCGCTGTCCTGAGTCTATATGTTGCATACTGTCCCTTTAAGATGTACATTATTGTCCTTATAGGGAAATGTGTCCTCTGAGTTTGGGCCGTTGACATTGGGCCTGTCTCTGGAGCAGAAGGAGACTTTGCTGGAGGATTAAAGCTATGGTGCATTTGTTCTGACGTCTTTGCCGTAATGTCATAAAAGGTGCAGACGTGTTGCTAACGTGGTTGCTAAGGAAAACTGGAGTTACACTGATGAATGAAAGCATCTGATTTGTTATGTTATCATTTTAAACAGTATCAAAATAAAAACTTAGAGATCACAGCGAGCGCTACACACGGTTATTACTGTAGACCAGAGAGAGACCATAGACAGAGACCAGAGAGAGACCAGAAAGAGAGACCAGAGAGAGAGACCAGAGACTATTCATGTTGCTGCCTTTAAGCATAGTGTAGACAGTCCCCAAACCTCTCTACGATCCACAGTCAATGTCACGTCTGTCTGTCTGTCTGTATCTATCAGGTTATGGTTAAGGCAGTGGAGGACCCTCAATCAGGATATTTTGTAGATATATATTTTTTGTTTTCTCACAAATATGTATTAAAAGATTCCCCATAGTGTATACTCTTCATTTCATAGTTTTCGAGTTTAGGATGGCTGGCGTTTATGAGTTTTTATCCAGTCATTATTCAGCATCATGTGTTTCCTGGGTCTTAAATCTGCCATCAGGCCTTCAGAAGCAAAAGCTCTAGTCCATGGTAGCAGAAAGTGAATGAAAAAAACCTGTGGCAATAACCAATCAGAGTCACATTAGCTTCACTGAGGGCTAGCTAGCGTACAGCACCAGAGTGTATGTCTTTTGGTTGGATGTCATTGGAATGTTGTTTAAGTTATCATTTTAATAAGTCATATCTGGCTAAAATAAATCCAGGTATACTGTAAGGCTGTATTGTAATTTCTGTTTGGTTCCAGGATGTGTGGGCGAAGGGGGTTATATGCAGTTGGCCCAGGCCAGGCTTTTGTTTCTGCTTTTCCTGTCCTGTACTAGTGACATGCTAAATACCAAAGGTCTCATTTTGAAACTGTATGTATGAAAGTGGGCTGGACTTGTGGTCTACCAAAAATGAAATGCAGTCTTCACGAAGGTCAGATCTGGTTTTGAAGCATAGACAGAGCTCTCTGCTCTGTCTCTGTTTCAAAAGCCACTTCTCCTTAGAGGAAAACCAAGTATAAAAATGCAGAAATGTGTGTATGATTTTGAACAGCATTAACAGAAGTCAATGCAGGCATGTCAATATAATAGACAGAAACAAAGGAAATTGCTAATATGTGTAGCGCAACTAGTTTTTTGTTTCATTTTTTTCAACCCACAATGGCTGAAGGAGACAAGGATATTGATTTGGTTGATATAGTTACAACGCCATCCTCAAGAACACTTCAAGAAATGCTAGTAACTGGCAAGCCTGAGAAAGAGACCCCTGGCTGCATTACAATATCTCCCAGTGAAAAGTTTGCCTGTAAGTAAGTAAGTAATGTATTATTTTGATTGTGTGACGTTGCTTTGGGAGCGACAGAGTGATTGACAGTGCTCTCTGTGCTTGTTTAACTTGTTAAAGCATATATTGCTGAGTGAATAAAACTCAGTAGACTCTGTTGCAGTTGACTAGTAGAGCTATGGCGGCATCATAATTATGGTGTTAAAAGGTGGATACAGTCGGCTAAGGCATCACCACACACTCTAAAAAATGAAACAGGGGTTGTCAAATATGATTAATACTTTTCTTTTCAATGTAGTTACAATGGTTAATTTTGGGGTTTCAATTAATAATGTTTCATTGGATTTTCATTGGATTTGGATTGATACTTTATTACATCCCTCAGTGGTTGATGATAGAGATGTAAACATATACCATAGACTATTTATAGATGGACAGTGCGAACCCAATGAAACCAAACTCTCTCTGGCTCCTATTGACTTACATGTGAGAGTAAACTCCTCTAGGTCAGTATCTGTTTGTGTAATAAACAGATACTGACCTAGATATTTTGATACTTCTGATATATGAGCCATATTAGGATTACCCAATCAGATGCCTTCTTTCACAGAGGAAACTCCAGCTTCACTTAGCAACCGTCTTAGCAACACGTCGGCCCCTGTTTGGCACGAGGCTAATATTGTCAGAACAAATGCCTGCGCTTGGCTACAGCTAGTTTATGTTCAAATCAGCCTCTTCCGCATTAAGTTTAACACTGGTGATGTCACACTTGGTCATTCAAATCCTAATACACAATTTTTTTGATCGTTCAGCAATTAATTTAAACTGCTTGAAATGTGGATTGTTATTTTGTATGTATAAGAAGTAAAATAATCGCTTCACAATGGCAAAATGTGTTTTTTGTATGTCTAATGTCTAATTTTTTTTTCTTTATTAGTGAGACCACAGCAAAATACAGATGTTTAAGTATGAACACATTGTGGTTGTATAAAAGAGTCATTGATTTGATAGGGAAAAAAGATACAGATATTTGGAAGCTGCAACATCTGTCTATGTATGTAGTTATCTATCTGCCTATTTCCGATTGGCCTGCATCTCTTCATTCATTGTTCATGTTTCACGTTAAAAAAAAATTATGTGACGACTACTAATAACAACAATGAAAAATAACACAATAATAACAAAACATCTTCTATTCTACCCTTTAGAGACATGTTTTTGTCTGTCCTCTCTCTCCACAAACAATGCGGTCCTTGTCTCCCATCACTTCCCCGACCCCAGACCTCTGTTATCTTGACCCTTCTTAACCGTGTCATTTCCCCCCCACACAGTTTTGCCCAGATCCGATAAGAAAACTGTTCCCACAGCTCTAATCTGGGAGAGCTAACCGTTCCTAAAGCTAAACTTGATTGTGAAATACTAATATGTCTAGTCATGACATCACACTTGGATTCTGTGGGGAAAAAACATGTACATGATATTATTATGTGGGTAGTGCTGCCCTTGTGCTATCCTTGGGTAAAGGAGAAGAAAAATTCATAAAGATTTTTAAGGTATTTTTTAATCATTGTAGCGTGTCATTTTGACCCGAGGATAGCACTAGTGACTGGGGGTTTTCAACCTGTCTCCACATAGACTAAAGGCCACCCGCAGCACTGCAGCTTAAATCCACGTGAGCTGTAAGGACATTTCCTTATAGACCTCGGTGTTCACGAAAACGGCTTGTTCTCAGCTGACAGGGAACTACAGCTTTCACAAAGGAGGATTATGTGGAGATTTTAGTTCTCTCCTGTCATCCTGGACTTATTTTTGTTTGAAATCTATCGGTTTTCTATAAATCCACACTTTTATGCCACAAACACAGCTCGCTCTCGCTCTGATCTGATCGGTGGAGCTCTGATTGGTCAGAACGCTCCCATGTCCAACTCTGAGCTCCCTCTCTTTCTAGTTTCCCCCTGGTCTTTCTCTGATCTCTCTCTTTCTGGTCTTTCTTTGGTCCCCTTTTGCTCTTTCTCTTTGGTCTCCCTCTGGTCTCTTTGTGGTCTCTCTGAAATGCACTTAAATTGGTCAGAATGCTAATGTGTTACTCTGGTCCTGCGGAGGTAGAACCACTGCAGACCATGGATCTATGTTAATATCTGGATAGGGTATTACTAGCTTATAGCTGAAGCACCCACGGGCTCAGAGGCCTCCTGCGGTACTGCAGAAAAAAAATCAGGCGGGCTCCCTGGAAATGTTCCCCAAAGTACTCAATTTAAACGAAAACAGCCAGACCTCAGCTGACAGAGAACCAACAGCTTTCATAAAGGTCGGATTTTGTGGGGATTGTTATGAACTGTGAACTTTTTTTTGTTAAATCCATCAATTTTCTTTAAATCCACATTTACATTCACAAACTGAGCCGCGTGCTGATTGGTCAGAACGCTGCCATGCCCTTCTGTGCATGTGCATGAGAGCCAAACCAGCATTTGTGAAGTCCATGGTGCGAGCATGAGACAATGAGCATAGACCTGAATGGGCAGACGTTGTGAATAATTTAACACAAATCTTAATTCTGATAGAATAATCTGGTAATCATAATTTTTGGATTAGAATGTATCAAAATCAGAACCAACGTTTTCTTGAGTCTCCCTAGTTTCATGTCATCATCAATTTAATGTATTTTTCAATTATTGTTGTTAATAGAAGCTAGAGCAAAACTTCAGGCGCTTTGTGTTGCCCTGTGCAGGAAAAGCGCCCTATAAATAAAGATTGATTGATTGATTGATTGATTCATCCATGAGCACTTCCCTATTGGGCCTTTGATCTATGGGGTTAGCCTGGTCCATCTGTCTATGAATCAAAGATACTAAAATGATAAGAACTAAAATACTAAAATAATTATTAGTCTTAGCCATATTATCAATGCCATAGATCTCGTGTGCGTGTGGCGACATGAGCGAGTGATAGCTAGACCCTTGAAGCTGAGCAGGGTAGGGCCTGTTGCGCACTGTGATGGGAGACCTTTGGGAACACAAGGAAGGTAACCATGGATTCTCGCAGCACACTGGCCAATCGCAGTCATGGATAGAGAAGTTATGGATAGAAAATCACTTTAGTATCAGCTCGGCCAGGATAGAACCAGGGCCAAGAGGGACCAAAGGGGGACCTCGTCCGGGTCACATAGGACCAGTGGAAACGTTTTCAACCGGGGTAGATAAGTGCAGAGTAGAGAACATTAGAGCAGACTAATAGAGTAGATAAGAGTAAAGTAGAGCAAAGTAGAGCAGAGTAGAATAGAGTAGAGTAGAGTAGAGTAGACGAGAGCAGAATACAGCAGAGATGGTGGAAACCCCTCTTGAGTCTTTTTGGGTAAACTTCTTCTCCATCTCTGGTTTTATTGTGAATCTCTCTTCCCGGATGTGCTCGTGTGACGTGCTCTGGGTTGTTGTTGACACCGGCCATCCGAGCAGGCAGCGTCCCTCGTCACACTCACACACACAGCCTCTGCTTCTGTCCGCCTCCCGTACCCGTACCCGTACCGCTGCTGCATCTACCCCGGCCGTGCAGCAAGCCCTACTCCTCCGCACGGCTACATTTCGCAACACACCGCTTTTTCTGGATCTCCTTCTTCCCAGGGTTCCGCTATTCGCCTCCCTCTCTCGCTCTCTCTCACACGGCTCAGCTCGGCTCTGCTCTGCTCTGGAACCCGGCGTAGCGTGTCCAAGGTACGTACCAATTACGTTCTGCCACAAATCCTGCTCCATCCCGGGGCCTGCTCGGAACCACAAACCTCACCCGGATCCAGCGCCCTATCTCCCATATTCTACTGTTGTCGCGCGTAATGCTATCTGTGGTGCGTCCTATAGCCTCCTATTCCAACTCTTCTCCAGGTCTCGCTCGTTCTGGTGGTTAAAAACGCAAGCGGCGATGGTGCACACGTCTGTAAATGTAGCGAGCACGCGGGTTGAGGCGATTTTCAAGTCATTACATTCACGCTAAATCGGGGTAAACGCGATGGCGATGCTGCAGGCGAGGTAATAACGGGACTTGGGTTGCCTTAACTGCGTAGCTTGAGGGGCTAGCCGTCTGGTGCGTGGGGGGGAATGACTGAAATTCGTTTGACCTCCACGTAAAATTAAAGGCTATGCTTGTTGTTGCCTTGGCGTGCAGGTTACGGTCGCTCCGAAGTGGGGTCCGTGACCAGAGCTGGCCCCGGCATGCGTTTTGTTTTCACTCTCTGGAGGTGTGGTGGATGTGGGGTATGCGCGGAATCATTGTTTATGCTGTGCTGATGGGATTCTCACGTTGCATTCTTGTTCTTGCACTTGCTTTCTTGGCCTGTCACAATAAGATATCAACCCATCGTTCCGTAATTGATGGATGGAGTCTGTGTTTATCGCCTCTCTGGTCTCTCTTGTTGCAGTAGTGGCTGAAATGCAGCTAATGGTGAGCTGTAGTTGGTTGAATAAGGCATTGTTATGGATGAATCTTTATTATTTATGCTGTTTTCTGTGTCATCTGGTAGCAGGTAGGCTATTGCAACTGCCACTAGCAATTGGTTGCCTCAAAAGTATAGTTTATTGCCATTTCTGTACATCATTCATTCATTCTGTCATTCATTCATTCATTCTCATCCCAGCCCCTCTCTTATCCTCCAGCAGGCTGTCGGCCCATGGGAGCATGTATGTCCTTGGTCTTTCACACATCATTTAGGCAGTGCTGGGTTAGTGTTTTGGCCAGGGACACAACGGCAGCAGATATCTGTCGTTGACATTGCCCGACTAACTATAGCCCCGTTTCCACCGGCCCTTCTTGGCTCTGGTCTCGTCTACCTGGTTGTGTTTCCATTGCGCATTAGTATTTGGTTCCAGTATCCTAGTAACTCACCCACAACAAAGCAGTATCCGTGGAAATTCCCTGGTTAACCCCCTGGTAACCATGCCTTTCAGCATCATCTTGGCCTTTTCACTGTCTGTTAACACTTTAGTACAGAGGTTGGGAAGCTTTTTATTTGAGGGAGTCAAAAAAGTCTCATACATTAAAATGTATTTCTGTGGGAGCCATACACTTTTATTTTACTGTGTACGTGTAATTTTTAAAAAACAAGATCAACACATTTAGAGTGCAATGTTAGTCTCAGAATATATTATTTTGTTTAATAAAATTTTCATACTGAAGAAACCCAATGCATGAAACACTCTTACTAATATTGGCCTGAACAGAACCAAGGCCAAGAGGCACTAAAGCTGGCTCCCAATCAGGGTAGGGTAGAGTATAGTATATTGTACTACTTGCACTGAAATTAGTATAAAACATATTTCCTTGCAGTGACCAGTAGCGATATTGGCAAGTGCAATAATTCTATGAATAAATCATGAGGTTTTTTTCATGCTATTTGCTACTGAATCCCAGAGACTATCTTGGTACGGTGGCTGGAAATAATAAAACACATGGCAAGAGAGGAGATTCCAGCAGCATGTATACACTACTATAACATATTGTACTCATTTCCAACATTGTGCAGCCTCAGCGAGCCGGGCCTGCATCGCCACAGACTTGTACTTGTCCTGTGTGTTGTTAAATGTGGTTTTGGAGGTGTTCTGGGCACATCTCATCGGGAGGAGCCTCCGGGGGAAGACCCAGGACATGCTGAAGGACACTGGTGGCCTTGGAACTCTTTAACATTCCCCCTGATGAGAGTAAATCTGGGACAAACACACATAGAACATACATAAGGGGTGGACCGACGAGTGCTGACGTCATCGTATTGTTTCCCGAATTCCCGACGTCACCGACGCGTTGGTCACCACAAGGCCCTTACTTTGCCTGCCGCGCAGCATTGAAATGTTCTAACTACGTAAGGGTTGCCGCAAGGAAGCTCCGCTGTGATTGGTCCGTGTGTGTATTGGAAGGAAGCACGGAGCGGCTGCAGGGAACATGGATGAGGCACTATGGAGCAGACTGCTCCACGATTCGAAGGAACCGAAGAAAAAGTAGTTTGGCCTCATCATTCTGTTGCATATCTAACATATATATAACTTATAAACTGTGCAGTCGTTTGTTTTGCTCTGTTCCTGTCTTTGTTTGAATCGTAGCTTATCGTGTCTGTTCCATTCCTCCTGCACTTATAAATTGTTCATGTTTTCCTCAGATATTTACCCCTTATTGTTTAGCTGTTTGTGCTGAATACAATTTAATAATAACTATGTTTCCAACAAGAACTGTGTCTTTATTCACAACATCACAGTTGAATGAGTCACATATCACAATAAACCTACAGTAGAAACACATGTAATGAGCTCCAACAGCTCGGTTTGGTCATGTTTTTGTTCTGAAGAGGAGAAAGTAGCAGCGTAAATGAGACCGCTTTGGTATCTCAAGCAACTCTTGTGAGATCGCCATCATGTGGTTGGTTGTGCGATTACAACATTCTCCTCAAAACTCCGCAAGGAGTATAAATTAAATTGTGCTGCTAACGTAAGCAGCGCCGCGCAAGTATACACTAAGGCAGGGCTCCCAACATCATGCCATGAAACAGACATTGGACAATATTTGATTCAATGTTTGAATAGAATCCTTTTTGTTGTTGTTTTCTTGAGAGAATTATCCATATCAACCTCTGTCAATCTATGTTTACAAGTTTTGAGCACTGCCTTTAGTACCTTGACCTTCCACCCCTGGTTGGGAAACACGGGCTTAACACACTGACGTCTTCCATGTTACGCTGCACTTATCCAATCCCACCCCTCCCGAGTTATTTGCATATATAAGGGGTGGACCGACGAGTGCTGAAGTCATCGTATTGTTTCCCGAATGCAGAAGTGGTCGATTTGAACATAAGCATGCTGGAGCCAATATCCTTATGGGCATTCGTTTTAATGCCATAGCTTCACGTCGTAACAGGGGCCAACGTGTTGCTAAGATGGTTGCAAAGGCAAGCCAGATTTCTGACCAAAAATTAAGATGGTCAATCCTTATATGGCTCATTTCTGGATTTGGACAATATCAAAATATAAAAACCACAAATGGTTACTGAGTTAGAGGAGTTTACTTTTCAATGTAAGTCAATAGAAACCAAAGCGAATTGGAGCAAACTTTGTCCATGAGCACTTTGTCCTATTGGGCTTCACTAAGATAGGGGGTTTATATTGTCCATATGTTTACAGTCGTATGGACACACCCAAATTGGGAAAAAAGTGGATGAATGAAGCTAATGCTAAACTACCTGGTTCATTCTCAGAGAAAGTCAGTTCCTTAATCAATGTATTTCTTTGTGTTAGTATTTTTGGCTATAGCCTGATTCTGGATGAGTTTACTCTTTATGTTTAAGGTTCATGAACAATAGATGTGGTTTGATAAATCCTGGGAGTTGTGGATGGTGGCAGAGCCTTGTGCCGAGTGATGGATTGATTGGTATGCGTCCAGGGTCGAGGTGTTTGAAGGATGGAGATGAATGGCTCCCTATAAAGTATGCACGCACCCTTTTTCTGTTTGAGAATTCCCCTTTTAAATTCTCACCAGGTAGGCCTTCTTATTTAAATGCGTCTCATGTTATCTTGTATAGTGGTCCCTGGTTTATTGTGGGGCTAGGTTCTAAAAATAACCTGCAATAAGTGAAATCCTTGTAGCAGCTGCATGTTTTAAGGACATAAAACCCCTCACACACACTTTGTACTCTTTACTAACCACCTGAACTCGTGACTGTTGAAGTGCGATCGCGGAAGATATCAAACCTGGTGGTTGTAGGTCTGAGCACTGCTGCAGCTGTCAAAAGTCGTGTATACACCGTAAAATACAGCTGCAGAGGACACCAGGCTGAGGGCTATGAGAAGATCAGGTTGAGCCCCAAGAGGGACTAGATAGAGAGAGAGCAGAGAGCGACCAAAGAGAGAGAGCAGAGAGGGAGAGAGCAGAGAGTGACCAAAGAGAGAGAGCAGAGTGGGAGAGAGCAGAGAGTGACCAAAGAGAGAGAGCAGAGAGGGAGAGAGCAGAGAGTGACCAAAGAGAGAGAGCAGAGAGTGACCAAAGAGAGAGCAGAGAGTGACCAGAGAGTGACCAGAGAGTGACCAGAGAGTGACCAGAGAGTGACCAGAGAGTGACCAGAGAGTGACCAGAGAGTGACCAGAGAGTGACCAGAGAGTGACAAGAGAGTGACAAGAGAGCGAGAGAACCGAGAGCGAGAGAGCCGAGAGCGAGAGAGCCGAGAGGGAGAGAGCCGAGAGGGAGAGAGCCGAGAGGGAGAGAGCCGAAAGGGAGAGGAACCAGAGAGAGAGAGAGACTAGACAGAGAGAGACCCGAGAGCGAGAGAGACCCGAGAGCGAGACCAATGAGAGGGAGAGACCAGAGAGAGAGACCTTAAGTGTTATAAAAGACACATGCACTTGTGTGTTTTGTCCTGCTGTTTGGCTCTGCACTCTTCCCCTTTACGCAACGTCAGCAGAAACGTGGTTACGTGCATCCCCCCGCCCCCCTTTGAGCACCAGTGACTGCGCAGCGTTGCCATATCAGCACTCTGACAGTAACGACAAGAGAAAATGACTAAAACTTAAAAAGCTGTCGTGCAAGCAAGTATCTGTGTATGTTATGTCCCATTTAAAGCCGGGATCTCCGCTGATACCACACTGTATCTGCAGCTCTGTGGTGTAGTTTAGTCATAATTGGCATTCACGCTCTGGTCATGAGTCCCAGCAGGAGCCTCCATTGTCGCAGTAAAGAGCGTTTAAAT